GGTGAAGTGAAATGGTGCGACAGATACCAATCCTCGATGTTGATATTCTCCCACTCGTCATTCGCTCGCCCTGATGTGTGTAATCATTCGTTCCTGTCCATCGTGGTGTTGTTTCCGTATGCTGCATTTCGAAGTGTCTCTCTTAGTCTAGTATTGCGAGTTTAAACATGTGTGAGACCACAATGTTTCCACACACAGTCCTTGCACTTAGGAGATCTTACTTCTGTTCTGAAGAACTGGGCCGTGTCTTCGGTCCAGCGGCTACATGGTCGTCGTGGCCGCCACGTCGTCGCCCCGCCGCCGCCCGTCGTCTGGGCCGTGTCTTCGGCCTGGCGGCTATGTGGCCGCCGTCGCCGCCCCGACGCCGCCTCGTCGCGCCTGTCGTCTGGACCTGTCTTTCGGTATGGCGGCTATCTTGTGGCTGTCGCCGCCCCGTCGCCGCCCCAGATTGCACAGCCTAGATTGCACCGCGTACGTTGCACAACAAGGATTGCACCGTATAGATCGCACCACATATATTGCATCACTTGGCTTGCACAACATACATTACCCCTCGTCGATAGCACCGTATATATTGCACAACAAGAAGTGAACGTCATAGAGTGCTCGTCATTTATTGCACAGCAAAGATTGAACCACATATATCGCACTACATAGAGTGCTCAACATATATTTCACAACATGGATTACACCACTTGGTCTGCACAGCATAGCTTGCACTACATTGATTTAGCTCCATCTGCTGTGCAGCATGGACTGACCATCGTACATTGCTCCACATCTATGGCACCTCGTAGGCTGCACCACATACCTTGCACAACGTAGTTTTAGCCGCATCGATTGCACTGCGTGTGTTGCACAGCATGTATTGCACCACAACGGGTGCACAACCTATGTTGTTCAACCTATGATGCACCCTTTACCATGCGCCATATCGATTGCACCACGCATGTTGCACTACATAGATTGCTGGAAACGCATTTCTTGGTTTCCACGCTGGCTAGCATCGGTAAGGTCGAACACTGAAATTTTATCATTCGCAATTGCAGCATTAGCTAATTCCCTCGCCGGCCCTGCTACCTCCGCGGTGGAAGGGACATCGCCAGGAGTCAAACTTGTGTGAAGGCATCGCGCTTTGAGCACCGAAACGGCGACTGCACATTCTTCTTGTTTCATGTTCCTACCTACAGTGGGATCCCATGGCAAGAAACACCCTGTTTGCCTCCAGGGTGCACTGGATTTCTTCGGTCTCGATGGTTTTGCTATGGGAAGCGTGCCGTTCCCACACCAAACACCAAGGGACGTCCTGGGGTCTCGGGGTTGGGTTTCTTGTGCGAGGTTTCGTGTGGTCGAGCTCCTGCTATACAGTCGGGGCCCTGAAGAAGGAACCCTTTTCGTTGGGGGGGGGCTCCGCGTTCCTTAAGTGTTTCGCAGCTTGCCTCAGGGTTTTCCTTATGTTTTCGATCGGAAATCGAAGTTTCCTTAGGTCAAGGCCCCGACTATACTCCTCTCGGACTGCATGCAGTGAATATCCTCGACATCGGCACCCCTCACGAGGTCCCTGCCGGTTCTGGCGACGCCTGCAGGGCTGTGTTGTTCCACCGCTTTTTGAGCGGGTTTGGCTAGGGGAGCCCGGGTCAGTGGCAGTCGTCATCGGCACGACGGTCGTGGCCTCGAGCTCTGTACGAGCCGCGGGCTCATTCTCTTTCGCATCGGCACACACCACCGGATAGTAGAGGGGTGATTTTGCAATCCTCAGCCCGCATTCTCCTCACGCTGTCCAGTCCCGGGTCTCCATACGGAAACCGGTTCGCAGGCGATGTTGCCTTGCCGCTTCATTGTCGGAATTGGGCCAGATCAGCACGCTTTTTTGTCGGCGCAGGCTACAAAGCCAGTTTGCCGCTTTTTCGGCGCGATCTCCAGCTCTGTGCACGAACGCGCTGGGTAAGCATTGATCTGCTCCAAGCATACGCCTCGCTCCTAACCCTCTCCTCATCCCTCCTCCCAGACCTCTGGCTGAAATCATGCCATTTCGTCAACCCGTGGGCCCCCTGAGCTTTTGACCGCTTCCACGTGGCCAACTTTTCGCCGAGAGTCGTCTTTGATTGCCCCCAACCCTGAAACCGCGAAGAAGCTCCGCGGCCGAGTGGGTTCAGACGCCGAACGGGCTCAGAAGGGCTCTTCCTCCTTCCTCTTGGGAGCAGGAAGCGCACCACCACCACCGCCACCACCACCACCACCACCACCACCACCACCACAACCACCACCTTTGGGGCATTCAGGTTGAGCTGGTGTGCGGGATGCAGCTGTGCGCAATGTCCCGCGAGAGGGCCCGACACGACATGTACCACCACCACCCCTGACCACCCTCTGCCTCCACCCTCCAGGTGGTGGTGGTGGTGCGTTCCCCTCTCCCTCCAGCCCCACCTCGATGCGCAGCGCCGCGGCGGGAGCTACCCAGGAGAGCCGCGCGGGCACGAGGCCCGCACCCAGCCGGGGACGATGTGTGCCCGGGGCACGGCCCCCCACCTTCCAGCACAGCCCCGGTGCGCGCGCTCGGTGCCACTGCTTCTCCGTCACGCGCAGGGGAGCATCACGTTGCATCTTCGGGGGGCCTCGCCGGTCCCCCAAGCCGGTGTCTTTTCGCGTGCCCGACGCGGGCTCGATGCGGACGCGACGCGGATTTGGCGTGGATTCGACGCGGATTCGATACGGATTCGAGACGGATCCGACGAGTCCGACATGGATTCGACACGGCTTCGACATGAATGGGACCGCGACGGGACAGACAAAGCCCTCCGAGGATGCAGTAGAAGGGGGTACGGGGAGGGGAGAAGGTTTCCTAGAAGCACCCCTGCTTCTTAAAAGGCGCGGGCCTTGTCTAGTTACAGATGCAGGGCCGGCGCCTTCTAAGAAACAGCCTCCTTCCAAGGAGCCTTCCTCCTTCCCCCTGCCCCCTTGTGCGCGCCTCCAAGCTTCAGCAGGATACTGGGAAGGCCTTACGGCTGGAGCCGCCGACCCTGAAGCGGAACTACAACGACGACGGCGGCGGCGGCAACGAGGACGCTGGCGCTCTGGAGCCCGCTTGGGGCTCTCGTGGGAGCCTCTTGCCGTCGGGGCCCCAGTGCACGCTTTCAGTGCCACGACCTCAGCAGGATGTTTGCCTCGGGGGCGTCCGAAATCGTGGGTGAGGACTGGGGCTGTGCGGATCTCATGGCCAGGGCCATTAGGTCTCCCAGCTGTCGTGGCCTCTCTGTCGTCTCTCGAGACATTCCTGGGGCCCCCCTCGTCCGCGTACATGTACCGGGCCGTCATGCGCTACCCCCTATTTCCTGTGCGTCGTCTCTTCGGTGCACCCGAGTCTAGGTGCACTTTCTCCTCGTCCTGGATTCAGCAGCACAGTTACTACGCCGCGTCATCATCCGCGTCATCCGCCTCGTCCTGCATGCTTCTCCTTCAGGTGATGCCTGTAGCCCCTCGCTCCTCATCCTGCATGCTTCTCCTGCTGACGGCTCGCCACCCCAAGGCCTGCACAGGTCGCCGCGTGGCCATCGCCAGCCGGTGCTGCCTGGCCTCTCGCATCCCTAGCGTTCCGACGCCTTCCATCGGCGGAGGTCGTCTCACGGCCTGCCCTGCGTCGGCCGTTTTTCCAGTTCCCAGAGTAGGAGGAGGAGGAGGAGGAGGAGGAGGAGGAGGAGCAGGAGGAGGAGGAGGATTCCCAGAGTTGATCGCCTTTCGCGAGCTCTTGTTCTGGTTCCCCGCGCTATCTCGTGTCACGGGCTGTCCTGGCAGCTGCAGCACCACCCCCGACTTGCCACCGGACTGCATTCGAGAGCCAACGATTCGGGTACGGCCTTGGAAAATGCACTCGGCATCGGCACGAGGCTCGCCGGCGTCGTCGGCGCGGGTGGCGGGAGTGAGGGGCACGGAGCGGCAACATACAGTCGGGGCCCTGAAGAAGGAACCCTTTTCGTTGGGGAGGTGCTCCGTGTTCCTTGATTGCTTCACAGTTTGCCTTGGGTTTTCCTTAGGTTTTCGATGGGAAATCGGAGTTTAACTTGTAGGAAAAAGGGGCCCCGTTCCTTATTTATCGTTCCTTAGGTCAACGCCCCGACTGTATTGCCATGAAGGGAGGGTGTCCCGAGGAAGGGTCTGAAGACCCCGGGCGTTTCCCAAGGGCCAGGTCTTCGTCCTGAGCCGTTCTGCGGACAGTCCCTGAGGCCCGCAGAGGGGAAGAAGGATCGAGGAGGAGGAGGATCGAGGAGGAGGAGGAGGAGGATCGAGGAGGAGGAGGGGGGGGAGGAGGAGGAGGGGGAGGAGGAGGAGGGGGAGGAGGAAGGGGCCGACGAGCCCCCCCAAAACTCGGAGCACGCGCCGGGCCCCTTCTCGCGGGACACGGCAGGGCGCCGGCGTCGGGAGGGGAGAGGGGCGTGTGCTCGGGGGGCCGAGGTCGGCGGGTCGGAGTCGGAGGGCCCCGCCGGTTCCCACCTGGCCTCCCACAGCATTCTAAGCCTCCCAGATGGGGTCGGAGTAGATGGGGTCGGAGGATCGCGCCGCATCGCCGATGCATCGCCGATGCGGCTCGATGCGGAGCCCGATTTTCTCCGCGCCGGCGTCGCCGATGATCGCCCACGTCGACGATGCATCGCCAGTGCATCGCCAATGCATCCCCGATGCATCGCCGATGCATCCCGATGTATCGGCGATGCGGCGCGATCCTCCGACCCCATCTACTCCGACCCCATCTAGGAGGCCTCTAAGCATGGTATGATGTTCCAGATTTTGTAATAAAGGGAGGGGGGTCTGGACCCTCCAAGACAAGGCATTTCAGACCCCCGTGAGCTTGCAACGGTAAGGTTAAGCGTTAGTCTCAAGCCGAATAGCAACTTGGAGTCAAAGCAATGCATGCAAGCCACATCGAATGCAACTTGTTAACCATCGCCTGTGCGTCACAAATGGTCGCCCACACTGACTGAATTCATGGGAAAGACATGGGGCTAAGGACACCCCTGCATCCAAGCGGAATCCGTAGCCCTTTAGACTCAAACCATCCTGGCGCACCTCGGACTCGCGCAGTCCTTCTGAGTGCAGTTTCCCATCCGCTACCGGTCTCTGTCGTGCCCGCTCCGAGGGGATGGCGCCCTCCATGCGCGCGCTGCTTCCTCTGGCCCTCGTTTGCTGCCAGGCGGCCGCCCTGACCACAAGCAAGCCCCGTGTGCGGACCAGGACGAAGACGCTGGTGGCGACCATGGTCTTCCCAGACGACGAAATCCCGGTCGACCTCATGATGGAGCACCACCTCCGAATGGTAAGCAGCAATATGAGCATCCTTCAGGGGGCCATCATCGACAACCGACCACCGTGGGGCGAGATGAAGAGCAACCAAGAGCCTCTGCTGGGACGCTACAGGCGCTCTCAGGACGGCACGGGCGTTGTCAGGGTGAAGAGGGTGGACTATTCCAACTTGTCTACCCTCATCACCCGATTCTTCAGCTCCGAAGAGATCAGCTTGCATGCCAAGACCGTCAATCTCGCGGCGGACATGCCAACCAACGTTTCGAAGCTCGACGAGAAGGCCAACGCCGCCCGCATGTTGGGCATGCTGAACTTCCTGGAACTTTGCGCAGATGCGGAGGCCGACGTGGATCTGTGCATCTACATGGACTCCACAACGTTTGTGCACCGCTCGAACGACACTGGGATTGTTGAGCAGGCTGTCAAGGTGTTCCAGCAAAACCCCCAGGCTGTGGTGCTGAACCCGCCGGACATGTGCACTTACACGAAGGCCACGCAGAACAGCGTGTGCAAGGCCGGCAACGTCACCAGCGGGATCAACCACGGTTTCTTCGTGGTCAACCGCGACCGTTTCGAGGGCTTCGCGCCCATGCCTGTGGAGTCGGTGGGCCTGGGCAGCGTCTTCGAGGAATTGCTGGCCGAGGGGCTGACCAAGGGCGGCGTGGAGGGCCCCGTGAAGCAGATCCGGTGCGGCGGCGCCTTCGCCATCCACCCGTACGACACCAGCCTGGGCAGGTATCGGGCGGGGAAGGGACGAGGATAAATCCGTTCTAGAGCGTTCCGGACCGCTCCCCAGGCGTCCCAGAACGCTCTGAGAAGGCCGCGGCGCCCGAGACATCCTCCAGAAGCGCCGGATCTCAGAGATTTTCGATGTATCCTCACCCGATGTTCTGGCTTCGCATGAAGGTACGCCTGCAGCTCCCAGAGGCAGCTCGGGCTGTCTGCGCACTCGCAGGCCGCGACGAGCAGGGCCGGCTCGGCGCGGGACGCGGGCATCTTCTCTGAGGACTACGCGCGCTTCCCAGGGGGCGGGCTGCGTGCCAAGGGCCTGGCGGCGCTTATCGAGCGCTTCGAGGCATCGGGGGACGCCAACTATACAGCCGCACCGATCCTGGCCAAGACCACCTGGAGGGCAGGGGGTCGACTTTCCTGGCTGGGCTGAGACCGCGGGAACGTCGATCCTGGGCCCTGTCTGGGCCCTGGCTTGATCGGTAGTTGTGTATGTGGGTGTATAGCCGACGTCTTACTGAGGCGGGCAAGTTTCCCGAGGCTAAGCCCATGGACAGTCTCACCAACAAGTGCAACAACATGTGCCCCTCGAAGGAGCGCATCAGGGACGGTCTGGCGTGGTGAGGTCCGCTGCTGGGCGTGTCCCTCACGAAGAGGGTAGCGGAGGAAATGGATCTTTCGAGTGAGGAGCAGCTGCATAAGCATAAACGTTTGGGAGTCAGCGCAGATCGCTTGGATGGGCGCGGGACCCCCCTCCCGAGCGCGCCAGGGGTGGCTCCGAAGGCGCCGCGAGGGGCTCCAGCGCCGATCCACGTAATCCGCGCGGGCCTCCGAAAGATTGCGGTTACAGTCAGCCCGCATCGTAAGGATGAGCGACTTTCCAAGGTTGCCCGTGCATCCTTGCCCTTCGGCCCATCCTCGGCCGCTTTCGCTGGCCGCGCCCGCCCCGCTCGCAGAGTGTCGACACGGCCTTCCAGGGTCCGTGCATCCGTATCGTGTGCGCTTAGTGCACGGGTTGACTGTGCTCTGTCTCCCGTCCTCCCATGCTTGCTCGTTCGTGTACGTTTTGTTATTTTGTTTGGTGCTGCGGCACTCCTGGCATTCCGACCACGCTCTCGCAGGCCCCGGGGGGCCACAGCAGCGGGCATGACTTCGCGCGTGCTGGAGCGCGCCGCGCCGTACGTATCCTGTCCGGCGGGGAAAAAAGAATGTTAAACCATGGCGCGCCAAGAGCAAGGGCTTTGCAAACCAGAGGGAGAGAGCTAGGAACGGAGAGCGCTTCGGCCACGGCTGAAGTTTTCTCGGGCGCTCCTCCTCCTCTCTCCTCTCTCCTCGCTCCTCGCTTCTCCTCCTGTCTCCTTCTTCTCTTTCTGGCTCGTCGATCGCGCTTTGGAGGTTGCCCGGATCGCCCCGAAGGGCTGCTAGAGTACAGCTGGAACGAGGGTCGAGAGCAGTCCGATCTTTGGATGGGTACCCTGATGCTCTTCGTGCTTGCTCTCGACCCGTGGCCCATGCCTGGCGTATCTGCATCGGACCTTGGGCTCGTGTCCGTGTTTCGACCGCAGTTCTGGCCAGAAGCAAGGCGTTTTTTTGCTCCAAAACCGTGCTTGCACTGATGGGTTCTGATTTCCCTTCTAAGGAGCTTGGCCTATGCGTCAGTCTGGAGGCCATGCTGTCACCGTCGCCGCCTCGGCGATCACGATGACGACGAGGGGGGCCAGGGAGGGCGGGAGTTGGAGGGGGACGGCGACGACGACGACACGAGCAGCGCCTGCCCCCTCTTGCGCTCGGCTCGGGCGCTCCAAAGAAGGCTCCGGCAGGGAGGGGGACATTTGCCCGTTGGAGGCCAGGTTGTGGGGATGTCTAGAGCAGTTCGCTCGTGTGGCATCGCCGACACCGTTCCCTAGGATCACCGACATCCAGCATTTCACACCCTTGGCCCCCCCCCAAGGAGTACAGTCGGGGCCCTGAAGAAGGAACCCTTTTTGTTGGGGAGGGGCTCCGTGTTCCTTAGTTGCTTTACAGTGCTCCTTGGGTTTTCCTGAGGTTTTCCATGGAACATCGGAGTTTAATGTATGGGAAAAAGGGCCCTTGTTCCTTATTTAGGGTTCCTTAGGTCAACGCCCCGACTGTAGTCGACAGGGTGGGGATGTCGCGAGCGGTTCGCTCGCTGGGCGTCGCGGACGCCTTTCACTTGCGGGCGCCGTGATCCCCGCGCTGCAGCAGGCGAAGCAGTTGGGCACCCCTGTATCAGGAGGGGAAAAAACACACAGACACTATTAATCGTCGACTCCCCAGAAAATATGGGAAAATATGGGAAGTGGTGGGGAACACAAAAACCCAGAAAATATAGGAAAATATAGGGCATCTTTTTATGTGTGTGTACTTATTTGTGTGTGTCCCAGGGCCCCTTCACTGTAGGAGGAGCCACTGGGGGGCGGTGCACCTGCCCGTCCGCGGCCGGACGTCCGGAGCGAAGCGCTGGTGTTTGGCACCTTCCCTGGGGCTCCGGCGTCACTGCGATGTGGCCAGTGATCGTTGCTTTGCTTCTGTTGCATCTTCGGGGGACCTCGCCTGTCCCAAAAATTGGTGTCTTTTTGGGGGCCCGACGCGTGGTCGATGCGGACTCGACGCGGATTTGGCGTGCATTCGACGCGGATTCGACACGGATCCGACGCGTCCGACATGGATTCGACACGGATTCGACGCGGACAGGGCCGCGACGGGACAGACAAGGTCCCCCGAGGATGCAACATAATTTTGCTCGTTGGTTTGCCGATCGGCGTGGGCCCTCGCACCCCCACCCCCTGGCCCCCCCCCCCATGGAGTGGATCTTGGCTGTTTTTGGCGCCCGTTTCGAGCAGGTGGAGCCTCCCCCATAATGGACGCACTGCTGTAGACAGTCGCACTCGACAGCAGAGGTCCGGAGCCAGACCCTCCCCCTCCCCCCTCCCCTTCCTCCCAATGTCGAAGCGCCGAATAAAATAAACGCCCACCTACGGGTATATACCCGCCAGGCGAAACCCCCGCACACCAATCACATTACTTGTCAAGGCCAGGAAAACCCCAAGGACCAGCAGTGTACGGGAAACAATTCACTTGAACTTGATCTTTCGGTGTCTGCACGGCTCTCTGGTCGAGACAGATCTGCATGAGTACAGAGGCTCAGCTCAGTTTCCTACGACATGTTGTCCGACCCAGGAATGGCGAGACGAGGTATGATTGACCGGAGCGTCGGGTCTGGTTTTTGTGTTGCGATCGGCAGCCAGTGGGGACCAGGTATCTGGGCCAACAGCTGCCACCTCTCACCCTTAGTGGGCCCTGGAAACGACAGGGCCGTCTTTTTACCGGTTCCGTTTTGCAGTTTTTTTGCCGGTTCCGACGCCGTTTTTTTACCGGTTCCGTCGCCGTTTTTTGACCGGTTCTGGCTCCAGCTCCAATCCTGAAGCCGTTTTTTTGCCGTTTCCGGTCGCCGTGAGTAGGGTGAGAGTCTCACCCTCCTCTGCTCATACCTACGCCCTCCTATTCCCCCATCCTCCTTCCCGTTCCTCCATCCCTTCCTCGCTGCTCCGCCCCTTTCTCCCCCGCCGCACTCTCCTGATCCTCCTCGTCTCCTCCCTCCCCCAGCACGGCCTTCCCATGCTCTCCCTTCAGCGATCCCGGGAACCAAAACCTGATGCTCAGTTTTCCTTCGGGCTCGTTCCACCTCGTTCTCCGCATCCTTCCCTTCCCCCCCATCCCCGCATGTTCCCGTTCTCCCATCCTCCTTGCTTCCTTCCCTTCCTCCGCCCGCCTCCGGCTGTCTCTCCCGCCTTGCCCTTCCACGCCTCTCCCTCCTACGCGGCCAAGGACGCTGAAGCACGAACGCATCCAAGTTCGGAAAACGGGGCTCGCTCGCCCCTGGGCCACTCCGTGGTTGCGCGTCTGGCCCCTTCGTGCATCCCAGGCCTTTGTGGGCCCCAGAAACGACAGGGCCGTTTTTTCACCGTTTCCATAAAAAATGCCCCTTGAAAATGGAAACGGCCAAAAAACGGCGACCGGAAACGGTAAAAGAACGGCTCCAGGATTGGAACCGGAGCTGGAACCGGTCAAAAAACGGCGACGGAATCAAAGAAAACGGCGTCGGAACCGGCATCAAAAACGGCAAAACGGAACCGGTAAAGAGACGGCCCTGTCGTTTCCAGGGCCCACTAAGCCCCAGGCCCTCTGGGTGCCAAGAAGGGGCCTCGTGCCTCATGCAGCGTTCCCTATGTCGGCAGCCCGACGGTCCTCCCCTCCCCCGTCCTGCTGCCGCCGCTGCGTCTGCTCTTGCCGCCTCTGCCGCTCCACCCGCTGCGGCCCCCTCCGCAGGCGCGGGCCTCTCCGCGCGCGCGTCGGGCTCGAGCCGCCTCGGTGTCGGGCGCAGGCTGTGCTTGGCAGCTTCTCCCCGATCTCCAGCGCCGTGAAAGCAGACCGTGGCGGTGGCCTCGCCTCGATCGAAGAGCAAACAAATGGCATGGCCATAACCTTTCGGAGCCCTGCGCGGATCTCTCTTCGATCGGCCCCGGGGGCCCCATGGGGGCGCCTCTGGCGCCGAGCTGCTGGCCGAGCCCCTGCCTCTGTCCTGCTGCCTGCCGTGCGGGGTGGGGGTCTCAGGGCGAGGACGGTCCTGGGGCAGGCCCGTCCGCCAGCTGCCCGTGGCGGTTTCACGTTGGCGCGTGCTCCCTTTCGCCTCCTCCTCCCCCTCCTCCTCCTCCTCCTTCTCCTCCTCGTCCTCCTCCTCCTCCTCCTCCTCCTCTTTCTCCTCCTCCTACTCCTCCCCCTCCTTTCGCCTCCTCCTCCTCCTCCTCCCCCTCCTCCTCCTCCTCCTCCGCCTCCTCCTCCTGCTCCTCCTCCTCCTCTTTCGCCTCTTCCTTCGCCTCCTCCCCCTCCTTCTCTGAAGAGCCCTCGCGGCTTCCGAGAGCCCTTCTTCGAAGTTGCCTGGACCTTCCAAGAAGGCGGCGGGCTTCTGAGAGGGAAGGGACCTTCGCACAAGCCTTCCCAGCCTCCACAAGGATACCTCAGAAGTTCCCCGAGGCTTCTCTAAGAAAGCCCCTTCCTCCCAAGAAGCCCCCACGGCTTCTCGGAAGGGCCGCCCCCCCCCCCCCCCTGCGCCACCACCCCGTGTGTGTGTGCCGCTTATTCTATTGTTTTGCGTTCCAAGTTCGACTTCTGGGGGCCGTCCTCGGGCTCTGGGTCCATCAGAGGTCGATCTCGGAGGCGAACACCTGCCCCCCAGAAAGGGTTCATCTGGTCATCCATACAGCTGTTGCTTGCTCCCCGTGCTTCTCCTCATCCCCTATGCCTCCTCTTCCTCTTCCTCTTCCTGCTCCTCCTCCTCCTCCTCTTCCTCCGCCTTCCTCCGCCTTCCTCCTCCTCCTCCTCCTCCTTCTTTTCTTCCTCCTCCAACTCCTCCTCCTCCCTCTCTTGGGATCGCTAGGCTGGCGGTGTCGATGTACCTCCACGCTGGTTTGTTTGTTCTTTCTGGGTTCATTGATGGGCCCTATTGGGCCTGAAGGGGTGTCATTGCGGGTTGCATTTCTACGACAGCCTTAATCCGTGTCTTACTCATTCTCTGGGCACGATCTCGCTGCCTGCGCATATCCATTTTAAACTCCAGATTGATGATTCTGATCTGTCCTGCACTGGGTCGAGAGCTTACAGCGTTTGGCACTTGCCTCCTGCCGCTAAGCTCCTCTTAGTATTTTGGACGAGGAGGAGGAGAAGGAGGAGGAGGAGGAGGAGGAGGAGGAGGAGGAGGAGGAGGAGGTGGGGGCGGTGGTCAGCATGGATGTCGGCAAGCGGCCGATCATGCCTTTTTTCCTCTCGGGCTCGCGGGGCCTGTTGTCAGCTCCGGTCACAACCTTGGAGTGGGCGATTGCGTTGGCCGGCCACGCCGTTGCAAGGGAAGGTCGAGTAAGCAGAAGGGACGTGACAACGAGGCTGCTGCTTCCACCGAACAAGGGGCTGAACTTCGGCCGACGGCTGGTGGGAAGATGGTACAAATCGTGTATGCCAAGGGGGTTCTTGCTTCGTCCTTGTTTGGGTCCGCTGTTACGGGGTCACGAACTTCGAGCTGGTTCGGCATCGGCGACAGGCGGCCAGGATGCTCCAACCATCCGCGATTGGTCGGAGTCTTACGGCCTTGCTCCTGGCCCACGAGGGTCCCACTTGGTACGCTGCGGTCGCCCCGATCGTGAGATGGTCGAAACACATTCTGGACGCTTCGCGTAACCCCACCAGTGCATGTGCATCCCGGCGTTGGCTTTTGGCCCGCTGGTAATTATCTCGCTTGGCCTCACGCTTGCTCTCCTTGGCGTTTTGGGGCTCTCCCCTCGCACGTGCATCCCAGCGTTGGCTTCCGGCCCGCTGGTAATTATCTCGCTCGGCCCCCCAAGCTTGCTACGCCTTCTCTGGCACAGGTGCACTCCGGCGTTGGCTTTGGCCCTCTGGCAACTATCTTGCGTGCTGCCCCATGCTCGATACGACCCGCTCTCCGGAATCGTCCTTGGAGCCGCAGATCAAAAAAGTAACCCCACCAGCCCATCCAGAAACGATGCCCAGAGGAGTTGCCTCGATCAGGGAAGTGGGCAGCACACAGAGGAAGGGTCTTCAGTGGAGGCCTCTTGGAGCGTCTTGGGGGCCTCTTGGCGGTCCCGGACGCCTCTTGGAGCGTCTTGGGTGCCTCGCAGAGCTTCTTGGGGCCTCTTGGGGGTCTCTTGGGAGCCTCTTGGAGGCCTCTTGGGCGCCTGTTGGGGCCTCCTGGGGCCTCCTGGGGGAGTTTTGGGTCCCTCTTCAAGCGCTCTCGGGAGCCTTGGGAGCGCTCTTGGAGCCCTCTTGGGCCATCGTGGAGCCATCTTGAGGCCTCGGATGGGGAAGCGAAAAGGCGCAAAGAAGGAAGCTCCCTTAATTAGCCCCCAAGTCGCCTGTTTGGGAGCGCTTTTGGAGCGCTCTCGGGCGCTCTTGGGGCCGTCTTGGGGCTCCCTGTGCCCCTCTTAGGGCTCTCTTGGGCAATCTTGGAGCTATCTTGAGGCCTCGAATGTCCATTGGAAGCGAAAAGGCGAAACAACAACAACTGTTCATGGTTTTGGGGAGATGTTGGCCTCTTGGGGGCATCCTTGAGGCGCTCTTTTGGCATCTTGGAGCCGTCTTGGAGCAGTCTTGGGGCGTCTTGGAGCATCTTGGGAGCCATCTCGAGGCATCTTGCGCTATCTTGAGCCATTTTGGAGCTCATCTTGGGCTTTCTGACGCCCTCTTGGGGCCATCTTGGGCTCTCTTGGACGCCCTGACCGCTCACGGGGCGCCCCGTCCAGGTCCAGGGGAGGGGGGAGGGGGAGGGGCAACCCCCTCCCGAAAGGGAAGAAGGAAGGTGGAAGAGGAAACGCTCTAGACCACCAACGCCCAGAGGGCTGGTGGGATTTGGACCTCCCACCATCGCTTGTATTCGTATTCGATCCCTGTGACTGAACTGAGGGCTGCTTGCGAGGCGGTTTTTACCGGGAGTCGCCTTTGTGGCGGATTGTAGCGGGCCCCCTGGGGGCCCTCCGGAAGTCTCTGGAACGCATCTCGTGCGTGGTGCATGCCCAGCTTCGGAGTGCGGGTTACCGATGCTGGCCACAAGATTCGTCTAAGTGAATGTTCCCCCGTCATTTAGCGTGGGATTTTTTGGGGGGCAAGCTACACATGATTTGTCGTGCTTGTTGCGACGGGGTCCGTAGCTATCCTCCTCCACTACGTCCACCCCTTTCCAGAAGGGGTGCATTCGATTCCTCTTTTGCCGAGCGGTTGACACCCGCCACAGTGCTGCCAGCTTAGGTTCCCAGCCCATATTCGACCTGCTGCCCACGTTGTGGAGAGACGCGGTGGGCAAGCGGAGGCATCGTCGTCTGTGGGAGCGTCCTGCTGTAATTCAGTGAGGAGCGGGATGAGCTGGTCAAGCGACGTGTTCCACAGTTGGCCGCTGAAAGTGATGATGATGGGCTTGTTTTCCACCACCACCACCATAAGTTAGAGGGGGAGGGGGCCTCCTCCTCCTCCTTCTCCTCCTCCTCCTCCTCGTCCTCCTCCTCTTCGTCCTCCTCCTCGTCCTCCACCTCCTTCCCCCCTCCAACTTCTGGTGTGGGTGGTGGAAAGCAGGCCCATCAGATAATGCCTTGGCGGTTTGGTGGTGTGCTTCTTCACCCCCGGGATCTGTTCCCGAAGCCTCGGACCGATGGCGGCATTCAGGTGGAGTGGGTTGAGGGCAGCCCTCAGGATCTCGAACAAGCTTTCGAGGGAGACATGTTTATCGATGGGTTGCGCTCTAGGGTCTCCATTCCCGAACTCAACCGCGCCGGTTAGACCTTCACCCTGGCGTGCAGACACTCAGGTCGTGGTACTGCTCGTGGTAGGGGGCCTGTACGGGCACCATGCCCCAAGACCCCGCAGGTGGCCGAGGGCCACGCTCTGTCTGCTTCGATCCAGTGTTCCACGGGTCGTGCGGTGTTTTTTTCCGGCTGGCAGAACTGCGCTGATTTTGCGACATGGCTTTGGCACGACCAGACTTCGGCAACGCGCATATTTCCTGGCATCGCTCAGTTTGTCGAAGAGCACTGGCCCCAAATCAAGCTGATCAATGTTCGCCAGCCCACCTCGGCGTGGATCAGGCCACTGACGACTGGGACCGCTATCCGAGGCAAGGCGTCGCTTGGGCAGACGTGTCGGCCAAGCAGGCGGCCGAGCGCTGGACAGGCACCTGGCGGTAGCCAGGTCGGCAGGGCGCCTTGCTGCCGAGCTGCTCCCACTTCGGCCTCGTCGGGGCACGGGCCCACACGTCCAGCGCATTTCTCGCACAGCCCCGCCTGCGTCTCCGCAGGCGTCGACCACGCCCCCCCTGAGTGGCATTGGCTGGGCAGCTTGTTGGCAGCGCACTGCTTGCTTGAGGGGCAGGAGGGAGAACTCGCTGCGTCTGCCGGCAGGCGGATCCTGCTCCCTTTCTTCTTTCGTGCAGCCCGCGGCCCTCCGTGAATTCGGGCGCCGATGTATGGTCATAGACTGCTCCCACGGTTCTTGTGTGTGTATGTGCCTGCCAGCGTTGTAATTGCAGGACGTCAGGTGCCAGGCTGGCTAACTTGGCTAAGCCTTGCAAGCCAGACCAGAGCGCGTGTCATTGCAATCCGTGGGCGAAGTTGAAGCGTGGGCTCCACCCAAGAGAAGGCTGGCGTCACTGTTGATCTCGGCACGTGTTGTCCTATTCAGGGCTCGTGTGTACCCCGCCGCTGCACTCGCCACGCCGCTGTAGTTACTTTGGCTGGTTGGTGGGCTGACCTCGAAGAAATCGTCCTCCTCCTCCTCCTCCTTCTCCTTCCTCACCTCTTGCTCCTCTTCTTCCTCCTCCTCTTGCTCCCTCTTCCTCCTCTTCCTCCTCCTTCCTCTGCCCTCCTCTTCAGTCACCCCGCTTGCCCAGGGCCAGCGAGGCAGCACAATTCACTAACACGCGGACGCCCAGGGCGTCCTGAGGCGCCCGAAAGCATCCACCGCGCACGGCGGATTCGCACGCACCCTTTGTCTGCGGCTCCGCCCTCCACGCCCGCCCGCGAGGGGGACGCCCGTGCTCCCCCGAGGCGCGGCTCCCGTGGCGCTTCATAGCGGCGGAGGTCGGGCCTTTTTTTGTGGATTCTCGGCCGTCGGAGGGCGGGCCATGGCGCCGAAGGCGGCCAAGAACAAGGCGGTCGACGCGGCGGCGAAGGCGGAGGAGCCTCCCGCGAAGAAGGCGAAGCCCGAGGAGGACGCCGAAGCGGCGAAGAAGCCCGCGGAGCCGGAGGAGAAGGAGACGGACGCTCCGAAGGCGAAGGGCCCCCTCCTCGAGAAGGCCGTGGGCTTCGACCCGAGCGGCTACTCGCTGAACGTGGTGCCCGTCATGGGAGGCCACCGCCGCTTCCCTGTCGGATTTGTTTGCGTTCTTGGGTCTTGCGTGGTGCCGCGCAGCTCCCTCCTTCAGTGCCCTCCTCGCCCCGCCGAGCTCCCGAGGGACTCGGCTGCTTCGCTTGTCCGTGGTCATGCGTTTCCTCCTCCTCTCGTCCGGGCCCTCGATGCGCACTCGATCATACGGTGCGGGCGTTCGTTGAGGAGCATGCCTGGATGCTTCGGACCCTGGAGGGTTCCCTGTCTGATGTGGGAGGCGGTGCTGTCCATGGCCAAGCCTCCATCGGGGGGCCCACCGCATTCTAGACCCTGGATCCCTCAGCCAGGGGCTCCTTTGCCAATGCCCTCACCGTAAGTCTTGTCCGCCCTCTCCTCGCGTCGTTCTCGTCACGCCCGGACGGAGCTTCAGGAACTGGTCCGGCCGTGGCCCAGGAAAGGGCCCGCGGGCCGACTGTGAGGTGGAGCAGGAGGAGGAGAAGCAAGACTAGGAATAAGAGGGTAAGGGTGAGAGGGACGAGGAAGTGGCGAAGGCTGTATGAGACAGGGGGGGGGTGCGGGGGTAAATTCTTGCAGAGGGGAGGGGGATGCGACTTATGTGCCAGCACAAGCCCAGGAGTAGCCAGGAGGTCGAGGAGAACGGGGGAACTGAGGAGGAGGGAGAGGAGGAGCCTCGGGGGAGCGGATGGCGGCCGCGCGAAGAACCGCCCGCATCCGTTGATCGCGGCTCACACCATTGGACGCATCGACCCCCACCTGTCTCCACCGCCGACTCCAGGACCTCGCAAGGGGTATTTTTTCTGACCAGATGCTCGAGGCAGGCCCGCGGCGACGCGGAGCCTCCCAGAGGCCCGAGAGGAGGGACAAACCCGTGGGATGGCCTCGATCCCCGACCCTCGTCGCCCTCTCAACCTTGAGGGCAGTTCCCATCCCGCTGCCCCCTCGTCGTGCGACTTGATTGATTGATGGGGCCTTCAGAGCTCATCCAAAGCAGAGCTCGCACGGACCGGATTCAAGAACACACGGACCGGAAGTACAGCCTGGACGCCTTCTCCTGTCGCTGGGAGGCCTCTGTGCGGCTCTCTGCCCTCCCCTCCCCTCTCCTCTCCCTTCCGCCACCGTGGCGCTGGTTCCTGAGGAGGAGGCGGAGGCGGAGGAGGAGGAGCAGGAGGAGATGCTGTCCACGGAGCTGGCGAAGGGGACGGTGGAGGTGGGAGAGAAGTGGCACCCGCGGCTAGAGCAGCGCCTCACGCATCGCCGTCGCCGGCCCTTCCGTCGACAGCGTGGCCGTGCCCCGATGTGACCTGGTGGGATCCCGTGGACGCGCGCAGGCCTTGCGCGACAGGCCAGTGCCCTGCGTGCCGAGGGTCCCCGAGCGCCTGCAGGCGCGGTGCAGGGCGGCCCAAGCTCGTGTTGCGCGAGGCGTTGGACGCGGCCCCGACGCACGCTGAACAGCTGCGGGCTCGTGATCGTTTTTTTAGTCGTGGTTGTTCCGATGGGCGCGGGCCCCCCAACCCCCCTTCCCCACCATGGAGTAGATCTTGGCTGTTTTTTGGCGCCTGTTTCGAGCGGGTGGAGTCTCCGCCATGGGGCGCACTGTTGCAAACAGTCGCCCTAAGCAGAGGTCTTGAGCCAGACCCCCCCCCCTCTCCCCCCCCTTCCCCCCAATGTCGAAACGCCGAATGAGAAAAACGCTCACCTTGGAAAGCCCTCCTCCTCATCGGCCGTCTTTTGCTCTGGAAAGGCTTTCGGCGCGGCGGTGCTGGCAGAGGAGGGAAGCGACGCAGTGCCAACCAGCGGGCTACAGCGGAGGAGCTGGCTCCGTTCTGCTCGGGGCAGTGGGGCGCTTTGGACTCAGCGCTTCGTGGTGCCATTCGCCCTGCTCGCCGAGCGCGCCAGGGGTTGCCGCCCGAGCGCATTCGGGAGTTGCTCGAGGACGGCTCGTGGAGGAAACTACGCGCAGGCCTTCGCGGCGGGGCCCCGCTGGTGGACTCCCTGGGCCCCGAGGGGGACCTCCTCCTCCTCCTCCTCCTCCTCCTCCTCCTCCTCCTCCTCCTCGCTGAGCGTTCCTGGGTGTCGAGGCCCCGCACGTCGCTGCCCCTCTCGATGCCTCCGAAGAGGACTTCCGGGCGGCAGTGGCACGGGAGCTGCGGGAGCCCAGGCCGCACGCCGCAGCGGGACGCGACGGAGGCAGATCCGCCCACTGGCAGGCGGGCTTTGGGGAGGATCCGTACTAGTTTCTCCTGGCGCGCACCTTGAAGAGATGGCTCGACGGCGCGGCCCCGCCTGAATTGGACGAGATCTTCTCCAGTCAGATGTTGCATGCCATGCGCAAGTCCGCCGGTGGCATCCGCCCAATCGCGGTGGGCGTTTTTCTGCGGCGCCTGGCGCACAGGGCCCTGCTGAGCCAGAAGCGGCAAGAGGTGCGCGACGCCGTCGGCGAGAAGCAGTTCGTTCTGGGGCGGGCGGGAGGCGCATACGCCGCTTTCAAGGCGCTCTACGTGAACGTGGTGTCCAGGGCGAACAGGGGCGTCTTGAGCGTCAACCAGAAGAACGCCGCACTGCCGCACAGCCGTGCAGGAGGCCGTGCAGAAGCAAGCGTTTTGGTTCGCCCCCTCGTAGACAGGCTGCTCGGTACGCCCGCGCGGAAACGCTTCCGACGCCAGCGACAGCAGCGTCACCTGGATCGAACAGGCCACTTGGCGTGCCACAGGGTTGCTTGGTGAGCACTTTGCTGCGGCGCTTTCGCGGAGGCGCTGGAAGAAACTCAGGCGGAGTTGCGCCAGCTTGGATTGGACACGACGGTCGTCGCCTACGCCGACGACATCTACGTAGTGGGTCCCGTGACACAGCCGGCTGCCTCGCAAGACGCCCTTGCGCCCCAGCTCGCTGCGGTCGGTCTCCACGTGGCCCCAGAGAAGGCCAGGACCTGGCCGAGGTCGGAGACTTCCGCCCGGAGCTTGCCACAGACCCTGCTGGCTGCAGTCGTGCAGGATCTGCCCATGCTTGGAAGCACGTTTCACCGGCACGACCGCGAGGACGCCTGGGTTCTGGTCTCGGGCCCTCAGAGCAGGGTCTCCGCCAGGCTGCTACCCCTGGTCCGCGGCACCGCGGCCAGCCTCAAGCAGACGCGGGAGAAGGGGCTCTGCCGCCGGGTTGCGGGTGCCGTTTTGCGGTGGATCACTGTCGGGGCACCGCTGCGTTTTTTTTTTTCCGCTCGCGCCCATGTAGTGATGGCGCCTTCGCTCACGACCACCAGGCGGTGGCGGAGGCACGGGAGGGCCCCACTGGCGTGAACCTGACGCCGCAGCAGTGCCAGCTGGGCAACTTTCCCCTTCGAGACGGTGGCAGCCTTCTTCGCCGGGTGGCGGCGCCAGCTGCGGAGGCAATGTGGCGAAGCCCCCGTTTATGCCGATGCCGGTCTCGAGGCTGGCTTCCCGGCTTTGGCGGCGGACGTGCGGAGGGCGCGCGCGGAGCTCATGACGCTGTCGCACCTTCTGCGGCACGCCGTCCAGAAGCTGGACTTCACGCAGGACTCGTCGAATCACCTGCGTCGAGAGCTGGCGGACGCCCTGATCTTCGTGGCGCCGGCGGGCCTTCTCAACCAGCTCCCAGGAAAGGTGCACGGGCCAGCTGCGCCAGGGCGGCGGCCTGGGAGCGGGCAGCTTCTTTTGCGTGCCCCAGCAGGGTGTGTGCGTGATGGCCGGCGGGGCGTGGCGCATGGCTCTGCGCAAGCGCCTTCTTAGTACCGCAGACCAAATCATTTCTCCTGCGACAGCGGAGACGCGCTGTCAGTAAGCCTGGCGCAAGGGTGCATACGGGGCGATGCTGGGAGGGACCGCTGGCCTCGTGTACGCGGAAGGCTGCAGGGTGCCACGACGAGGTGCGAGACATCCTCTTGACGTACTTCGGGGCGAAGCGCAAGATTCTTGCGCTTCGCCCCGAAGTACGTCGACCCCCTTGCGCTCAAGGAACACCGTCTGGAGAGCCTGCGGGCGGGCATGTTGGAGGACGCCGATGCTGGCGACTTGCCGGGCGACGTGCTCGACGTGGCATTCAGTCACGATGGCAGACGAGTGGCTTCGGACAACGCAGTTGTGGGCGCTCACCTTTACCCTGCCATTGCGCG